AAATAAATACCAAAGTTTATTAGTTTTATTGAGTAATTCCATATCCCTTATATTTGTGTATTTGTTTTTTATTAATAGCTGTTTATGATCATTTTTTGTGAATAAAATGAAATTTTTATTCAACCTCCTTTATTCTTTAACTTCTTTATTTAACGAAACAAGTAACAATTGTTGAAGAATCTTTTTATTTCAGCAAGTTATTTTATTAAGAAAAAAAATACCTTTTGTAAGATGAAGTGTTATATAACAAGTAATGTATATTTTGTTTAAAAATGGTTATAATCAATTGGTTTATCCTAACTACTTAGCTTAAAATGATTTGTACAAAAGAAAAAAAATATGTTTTTACTTAAATACAAATATATTGATATTTGAAGAATTGGTAAAAGACTTAATACAACCACTGCAATAACAAAATGGTATTTGGTAAGAATATTAATTCATTAAATAAAATAAATTCAATGTGGTTATTCATATTTTTTAAGTTTTAAGTCAATAAAAAGGTGTGTTATTGGATAGATAACGAAGTATTTATTAATACATTTTATTTGTGAAAAGAAAAATAAAACAATCAATTTTACTTATAAAATAACAATTTTTAAGTGAAAACCCCATAAAATTGGGATTTAAAAAAGGTAAAAATAAATTTATAAGTTTATTAATAATAAAAAATAGTATTAGATAAAAAAACAAAAAAAATTAACTATAAAATTTATTTCATGTTTTCATTTGGTAATTTATTTAGAAAAAATACATCTTCTACTCCTTCACGACCTAAAGGAAGTTCTACTTCTAATGCACCAATTAATCCAAACCTAATTAAAACACCAGAAATTAATGGAGTTACATTTTTTAATGATTACCAAGTACATTGTTTAAGTTTTATTAATGACCTCGGAAATGGACTTGAAAGTATGATGGACTATTCTCCTGAAGCAACAAATATTGCTATTAGAAGGGCAGAAGCTATGGACCAATCATTAAAACGAATGGAATTTCTTTCTAATGGTTTAGAAAAATATTTAAATGAAATGGTTATGATTGCACAAACTCCTAAACCAACAATTTCTACTGAAATAACACCTTTTAAAAGACAAAGAACATTAGAAAATATGATCATTTCTCAAGTTAATGAATCAGAAAATATTTCAAATAATTAAATTATCAATTCATTGGTTTTGTGGTTGTTCTAAATGATAGCCTTGTTTAATGTCATCGTACTCTTTTATATTCTCTTTTAAATATTCAAACTCTTTTTCTCTTAATTCTCTGACAACTTTAGCTGGAGATCCCATTACTAATGAATTATCTGGAATAACTGTTCTTGATGTAACGAGAGAATTAGCTCCAATAAGAACATTCTTCCCAATTTTAACATCATCTAAGATGGTTGATCCCATTCCAATCATACTTCCATCTCCTACTTCACATGAGTGAAGAATTACTGAATGTCCAATGGTAACATTTTTACCAACAATAGTTGGCTTTCCAATTGAGGTATGAACAACAGAACAATCTTGAACATTAGAATTTTCTCCAATAACAATCTTTGCCATGTCGCCTCTTAGTACAGCATTGAACCAAATACTTGCTTTACTTTCTACTTCAACATCACCAATTAAAAATACTCCTGGAGTAATAAATGCATCTTTAGCAACCTTTGGTACATTACCATTATGTGGTATAAATTGTTGAGAAGACATAACTAACAATTTTAAGTTTCACTTCAATCTATATGAGTCAAGGTATATCGAATTTCGTAGTACCAAAAAATCTTCTTTTCCTTCAATCTAAATTCAAGTTAATACAACATCAATGTAATTAGAATTAATGAAATTGTAATACTTAAATAATAAAATTATTTATTTTAAAATAAAAAAATTAAAACTTAAAAAAAATAATGGAAAAGAACGTTCAGAAGTTATATGATCGTTCTATTCGTACTTGGGGAATAGAGGCACAACAATTATTATTAAATTCTCACATCTTAGCTGTTGGATATGATCCATTAATGTCAGAAATATTGAAGAATGTTGTAATCAGTGGAATATCAAAAGTTACTGTGATTGACACTTATAAAGGTGAACCAATTTATACTACTCAGTATGACAAAAATCATTTATTTACACCTGAACAAGGTAGTGTTGTTTGTTTATTATTTGACTGTATTATAAAAATTTAACAAAAGTAGAGAACGTCATCTATTGAAAAAGTAAAAAGTGTTAATAATGATTTAACAGTTAATGTAATTAAAGAAACTCAATTAAATGATGAATTATTTAATTCTCTTTCTTTAATTATTTGTACTCTTCCAGATGAACATTTATTATCAAAATTAGAATCTTCAAATAAACCAATAATTTTTTGTTCAAGTGTTGGAGGTGTTGGTAACTTTTATGTAACTAACATCAATGGACATTACAAGCCAATTAAAGAATACACCCTTTGTGATACTCCAAAAATGGTTGCAAGGCAAATCATTAAAACATATTTTATTCAATACAATACAATGGATACTTATTCTGTTGATACACTGTCTTCGTCATTTGTTCATCTTCTCAATAAAGAAGAACAACTTGAACTATTAGTTGGATTTAATTATGCTCCAGTAAACAGTGTTATTGGTTCTCTTGCTGCTCAAGAAGTTATAAATATCATTGGTAAAAGGCCAACATATACTAATGAAGACTCTAATGGTTTTATTTATGACTCTGTTAATAATATTGG